CGGTGGCTGCTCAGGACAACAAGCATGTCTTCTGCCCACTACACATGTCTTCTGTCCTCTCCACGTCTCCTGACCTTCCCCGGGAAGTCAGTGCACAATCCTGTCTGAGTTGAGGGATTTTTAAAAAGAGATTGTAGATGGAGGGCTTGCCTTCTCTGTGTTAGGAGCCCATGGGTGTCTTTAACATGCAAACCAGGCTTTTTACTGCGCTCTGAGGCTCACACAGGTTTTCTGTGCAGAACAATGAGCAGGCGTAGAGGCAGAAAGGAGTCAGGTGAGACCTGTTATCTGCTATGCTGCTCTCTCAGTGACTGTGGGTGGACACCCCATAACCCAGCAAGCAAGGTGACAAAGGTCACGAGTAGTCACAGATTTATCGAGTCTTTGCTCAGGGCCCTGGCATTTTTGGCAGCAGCAAACCCTGTCCTCTAATGACACTGTATAAAGTGCTGTGACTTTTATTGGTTTACACCTCCTGCCTTTGTTGGCAAGTGACAGCCTCTTTTGGCATTAGCTGTAACAGTCAATCTATTCAGATTCATGGTGCCTATGCCAAGCCTTACAGAAGAAAGACACTGCTTGAAAACCCAGAGAAATCAGCTAATATCGAGAGTTGCCTAGAGGCAGTAGTGGCCAAGAGGTGTTCCTGCTGTTTTTTCTTTTTTGGGGGGGAGGGATATACTTTGATTTAAGGTTGGATTCCCGTCAAGGAATTAGATTGAATGGTTTCAGAAAAGTCTTCTGTATTTTCATTCAGCATTGCCTTTGTCCACTGATTCTGGGACTAGTGAGCTGTGTGTTTCAGCAAAGGCGGGTCACATGTCGCTGTTGGCCCTGGAGGCACAATGCTGTGGACGGTGCACATCGGGAGGTCTCTCCACGCGCCTTCCCTAGGAAAGTCAGAACACTGCTGTGTTGCAGGCCTAAGAAACAACTAGCTTTCATGGTTAGAAAGGACCTATCCTTTTTCACCTCTAAATCAGGGTGTCAGCCATCTGGGTCATTTTTTGGAAACGTGACTGTATTTATTCTCTCTTCTAAATAGCTCCATTAGAGCTGATTTAAGACATCGATCTCATCTCCAAGCATTGCCCTACTTCAGAGCCACTCAGCGTTGTCAGTGCTCTACCCAGGCTGCCCCAAAAGTAGGTGGCCTAGAATAAAGAAGAGAAAGTAAGAGGGAAAACAAAGGAGCTCTTTTCTCTCTGGCCAGAGCCAGGCGACCAGAGAACCCCTCTTGTGGTTGTTGAGCATTGCCCACTAAGGGGGTGCTGGGCTCCTAAGACCACCTTGGAAGCTTGCTAATCTCTCATTTGCCCTCCTACCCCTCACCTACTATTCCATCTGAACCTCTGAAAGAACTCTCCCATAGCTGAGGAAGAAGCCAAAGCAGAAAATAGGGCAATGGGGAGAGGATGTGGCCCTGGCTGTGGGGAATCTATGGGTCCTGAGTGCATCTGTGTGATACCTGTGGGTGATGTGGTCTGTAGCTCCATTCACTTGAGGTTATTAATGATTTTGAAAGTCACTTACCTTGTGTATGGCACAGAGGACAAGACATTCAAACTAAAAACAAGGGCCCAAGGACATCTCCAAGGCTCACGGGTGTGTTGACTCATCAGAGCTGTGGGGCCTGGAAGACTATTTTCTGTCCGTTAAGTGGTCACAAAATTTAGGGAGTATGAGGAAGCCGTCAGGAGAGATTTCATTTCAAGGAGCCAACCAGCCCTGCCTCCCACTCGCCCTTCTCCCGGGCTCCGGAGGCAGGTCTATAAGGGTGAACTGGTGAGCATGCCATTGCCTCCTGGAACTGCCTGTTCCTAGCGGTCTTGTTCTGAGGGAGCTGAGATCTGGGATCCAGGAGGAGCAAGGGAACTTCTTCAGAACAGAGCCCTTGATCCCCTACCCCCACTTGGGGAAGCGCTGCCCTAGGGTTAGCACAGAACAAGCTGGTTGGTCAGTCACACGGTCAGAACAGCCGTGAGATTGTACGCAGTGTGCTGTGTGTATGCGCCTTTTCTCTGGTGAGAGTCCACAGTTCTCTTAAGCCTTCTCTGACCTCCCCACCCTCCCAAAAAAGAAAAGATGCACTAAATTAAGGACGAAGAAAGGGCCTCTCTGACCTTCATCGGCAGGACTTCATCTGAGAGAGGAAAGGTGGGACACTCAAGGCTTCACCTGACCTTGCATCGGGGTCCATAGACACCTCCTCACAGATGCCCCCTCCCATCTCAGGCTGCTTCTAACCCGGTGGCTCTCACTGTGGCCCAGAACACATGTCTTACACATGATAGGCACTCGGTATATATTTGTTGAACAAATAGGGACTCTTACCAAGACTGCTACCAAGAATAATAGAAGGATGATGTCACCATGCCCATAATAAAATGTGACATACAGACGCTGGTATCACATGACCATGACTGCCATCATTACGTGGCCTGTGGTCCACCAGCTCACTGTGGCTCCCACGCTTTTCTCTTTCCTAATCTCCTTCCACCAACCCCGCCACCGCTTGAATTAGTGCAGTTTTGTTTTCCTCCTGGCAGTGAAGATGTTACTGGACTTCCTTCTGCTGGCTTAATTTCCTATCAGCCTTGGTCAGAAAGTCACCTTCTGGTTAAAGGAGGCTCCCGGCTCCCTGCGATGGGGCAGCTCTGACTCACGGGGACCTCTCGCCCTGCCTCCTCACTGCTGCTGTTGTGTTGCACATTTTATGGCTCAGCCACTGGGAAAAGCCTCCATCCCAGAACCAGGATGGCTGTCCAGTTGTAGGCTCTATTTTTAACAACCGCCAAGTTCCTAGGAAAGCCCCCTTTCCACCACAGGATGGTATGCCCTCCAGGCTCCCTCCTACTCCTGCTTCCCTTGCCCAGCCTGGCCCTGCTTGTTCTCATGCCTCACAAGCCACTCTTGCCTTTTGGGCTCCAATAACCCTGCATGTTTACCTCTACAACGGCATTCACCACCTTGCATTGTGGTTGCCTTTTATTGATCTGTTCCCCCTTCACGCCCAGGCTTCCTGACAGCACAGTGCCTGGCACATATCAAGCTCATTCATTCACTCAACAAATCTTTACTGAGCACCTGCTGCCTGCAAGGCATTGTTCTAGGCCAGTGGTCGGCAAACCACGGCTTGCGAGCCACATGCGGCTCTTTGGCCCCTTGAGTGTGGCTCTTCCACAAAATACCACGTGCGGGCGCACACGTACAGTGCGATTGAAACTTCGTGGCCCATGCGCAGAAGTCGGTTTTCGGCCTGGGCGAGTCTATTTTGAAGAAGTGGCGTTAGAAGAAGTGGGGGGTGTCGGTCGGTCGAGTGACAAGAGACTCGGCGCCGGGGAGGTACATTGTTTTGAGGTACATTCGCTGAGGTCGACCCCTTCCAACTCTCCCATCCACACTTGTCTATCTGAAACAAGTATACAAGACGAGTGTGGATGGGAGAGTCGACCTCAGCGAACGTACCTCAATCAGATTGAGGACGTTTTTAGCAAAGGCCAGCTTAGGAGTACCCTAATTAAGTTAATAACAATGTACCTACCTATATAGTTTAAGTTTAAAAAATTTGGCTCTCAAAAGAAATTTCAATTGTTGTACTGTTGATATGTGGCTCTGTTGACTAATGAGTTTGCCGACCACTGTTCTAGGCTCTTGGGATACAGCAGTGAATAAAACAGGCCCAAACTGCCTGTCTTTGCGGAGCTTACATTCCAGCATGGAAGACAAGCACATAATAAATGTGTAAATTATAAGTTAGAAAGTGATAAGCACTATGTGAAAAACAGCAGGGTGTGTGGAGGTGTGAATGATCAATAAACTCATATTAAGTTGAGTTAAATTTGGCATGGTTCAGTGACATTGTTGAGAATTCTTCTTTTCCTCCCTGACCCAGTTTAACAAATGACCCCCACGCCCTCGACATAATTTTTGTACTTTGCACCATGATTACATTTGATAGATTTCTCTAACCAAAGTATGGTAACCCCTGATAAATATTAATAGATTTGCAAAGAATATATTGGTAGGTAACACTTTTACCAGTCAGATTAGGTAGGTCACTTGTCAATCTTTTTATTCACAGCAAGCAGAGAACATATTTGTCCAGCATACATACTCAGGGCCCCTGAGGGCAGCACTGTCCCAGCACACCTGGAGCTCATTTCAGGCACCTGGCGGTGGTCAGCGAACTTCAGCCTGCTTTAGGATCACCTGGGTGATTAATATGGGCTCATTGAATTCTCTAAATTCTCTAAACCAGTGGTTCTCAACCTTCTGGCCCTTAAAATACAGTTCCTCATGTTGTGACCCAACCATAAAATTATTTTTGTTGCTACCTCATAACTGTAATGTTGCTACTGTTATGAATTGTAATGTAAATATCTGACATGCAGGATGGTCTTAGGTGACCCCTGTGAAAGGGTCATTCGACCGCCAAAGGGGTCGTGACCCACAGGTTGAGAACCGCTGCTCTAAATGCTGGGCCCAGCTCAGGTCCAGGTGGCAGGCCCCATTGGGAAGTTCTCCTTCCCCCACATCCTGGAAGGTTCCAGGTCTCTGGCTCTAGCAGTAAGAGCTGAGGCACATCCAACACCAAGCTCGGATGCAGTGGAAGATTTAATGTCACGTAAACCCAAGTGAGTTAAAATCATTCCTTGCTGAAGGAATTATTTTTTGAGGCAACCCACCTTCTTAGACAAGTGGATAGAAAACATTGGGGATTTTTTTGTTGTTGTTCCAGAAAATAAAATAACAGAGAGAACCAGACAAGATCTCTCTTAAGGCAGAGCCTGCAAAAGTCCCTGACAGTTCAGGTCAAGGCCATAAGTATTCTGAATATAGGTGATGCAGGGGTAGCCATGGGCCATGAACCACATAGACAGACACCAAGGTCAGCCCCATTTGTCTCCTCCAGTTTCTCTCCACTACCTCTCTACCTGCCTCCTCGCTTTGACTCAGTTCTGCTTTCCCTCTTTCCTAACTTTCCTTCATCTTTCCAGATGCAGGACGCTATGGGCTATGAGTTACCCTGGGTGTATTTTGTCAGTCTGGTCATCTTTGGATCCTTTTTCGTTCTAAATCTGGTTCTCGGTGTGTTGAGCGGGTAAGCTGACCGTTTCTATGTCCTCCTTACAATGCAGCCGAGCAAGGTCCCAGGTTCCACTCTGTCCATCGCCAGGATCCTCAGGGATGGGACCCTAAGAGGCCCAGGAAAACCAGGGGAAGACCCCAAATTCTGACCCATTGGCGGGCAGGCTGTTTGGCCTCTGATTTTCACCTAGAGGACCGGGGTCCTGGCGCTGCATGGGTCGGTGTCTGGAGCCAATGATGGGTGCTGGGCCATGCTCGACTGCTGTGTGCACCTCACTAACTATCATTCCGTTCTTCCAGGTCAATGATGCCGTAGGAAGGGACTGGCCCTGGATCTATTTTGTTACACTAATCATCATAGGGTCATTTTTTGTACTTAACTTGGTTCTCGGTGTCCTTAGCGGGTAAGCAGGACCAAGGAAAAAGGTCTTGATTTTTCCATTTTATTTACTCTTTCTGCTATTCCTGGCTTTATTCTTTTACTGGCTCTGATGAACCTGGGATAAGGGGCCACCTCAGGAGCCTTGAAGTGAATGTCCTTGGCCTGGCTGGGCAGAGGGTCAAATGTACAAATGATAAATTCTTTGGCTCAGGCTCCACCAGGAGATGCCGTGGCCCACCTGTCTCCTGCCAGCTCATCCGAGCCCCTCCCTCTCTCAAGCAGCTGCTTGGGTAGGCAGGTGCTTCTTGTACCTGAGGAGCAGCACGGCGACACCGTGGTCCGGGGAGGCTTTGGCAGCTGGAATGGGAGGGAAGAGTCGCAGACTGTGCTTCAGCACATGCGGCAGTCCTGCAGAGGGTCCTTGCCTGACCATCGGGCCAGTCCCAGTGTGTGCCCGGCTCACAGTAAAGATGAGGGAGCCAGGGTAATGAGAGTTTCAGTGTTGAACCAGGGTAATAAGAGTTTGATTTAAACTACAAATAAGCAAATGCAGACTAAAAATATAATTCCCTTTGATTCTAATGTATGGACTGAGCAGTCTATGTGAATGAAAAGGGCACTTAGCTCTTTAAAGCCCTAGATTATTTGAGAACTGAGGAGAAGCAATGTAGTTTCCTTTCAGTTTATCTACTTGGCTCCACGTATAAAGCCTGCTTGATTTTGGCCTTTGCTCAGATGAAGTTAGAAAGTGGTAGAAGCAGCAGAGGTACGGGGCATGGAGGAGCCTTGGGAATGGCTGCCTTTGCCATGGGACTCACTGGATTTCCTCAGTCCACTTTCCTCATAAGCCCACCCAGCCGTGCCAAGGCCTAACACCTAAAAGCTCCTGGTAGCCTGCTCCTGGGTGTCACGCTCTGCTGCCTTGGCTAGGAGGGAGGGGTGCAGTCTATTTCTGCTCTGCTCCAGACAGGTCAGCTGCTTTGAATAGCCTATCCTAGATCTCTAGGGACATTAATTCTGGGGGAAAGTCAGGGATAGGGAGAAAGATTGATCTTCATTTTTACTCAGTAATAAACCAGGAATGGCTACTCCCACCTCCTGCCACAGCCTAATGTGATGCAGGAGCAACAGGTTTAATCTTAGGAACTGGGTGAAGGAAGGACTCTGCTTCCACCCTCACCCTTTCCCCTGGTAGGTGGCTTGTTAGAGACTTTGATGACATCATGCCTCTGCCAAGGTAAGACCACATAAAAAACGAGGGTATTCCCTCAGGGGTAAGAATGATGAGGACAAGAGAAGCCCCTGATTAGCTGCCTGGAAGGTGGAAGGGCTTACATATTTGTGTTCCAACACGAGAAAATGCCCCTGGGTTTCTATGTAAATCACCAAGGAAAGCATGGAAATCAGCTTCATCCCCCACTGAAGACAGAAATTTAGATATCCCAGCCCTGCACTTGCTGGAAGCATTATGTTGAGCGATGTCACCTCTTTAAGCTTTAGTTCCCCATCAGAAAACATCAAGATAACAATAGGTTGTTGGGATGATAAAATAAGATCATTTATGTGAAATACTTAGCATATAGTAAATGCTCAGTAATAGTGCTACCATTACAATGGTTATTGCTTACTTGGTGCCTATCATAACTGGAATCAGTGACTAGAATCATCAAAAGTTAGATTTTAAAGATGAGGAAAGTGAGCCCAGAGGTGTTAAGCGACTTGCATGGTGTCACTTGGTTGGTAAATAGCAGAACAAGGCTCCCATCTTCCCATCATTGCCCATTGGGTACACATTGAATGACCTTGAACTGAAATACAACCCAGAGCTCTGAACCTCTAGAAAAATTTCTAATGATTCCATTTTCTTCCCCCAGAAATTAGAAACAAATCTAAGGGAAATACGCCTACCCCACCCTGGAATTGGGTTTGGAGAGTGGGAACTAGACTACAAACACCCCTCCTCAAGCAGAGAACCTGCCCATAGTCCTTGCCCCACAAGAAAAATCATCTTCCTGGTGGTATCAGAGCAAAGATGTCAGCTGTCAGTAGCTGCTGACCTCAGAGAAAAGCTGTTGGAAACCTGGCCTGGCTCCGTCCCAGTGAGAGGGTGTGTAAAACACCAGCCCAAAGCCTGGCAAGTAGTAACACTCAGAGCGTGTGCGGACTCTGAACAGGAGCACCAGGCCTTCAGACCTCGGCACCTTGAGTCCTTGGTCCGCAGTGGTGTCCTGGAGACCTTCCCCGCACCTGCTCCCTGACCTTCCCCGAGCAGTGCCTGCTGCTCAGAGCTCCGCAACATCTGACAGAACTTCGCCCAAGGCCTCCTGGGCCCCTGGGCACACCCTCTGCTGGTACAAAAAAATGTTCGCGGGCAAGCAGCTCCCCTTCCTGGGTTAAGGAACCCTTTCTAACCTGTCAAGAGGGCCAGCCAACCTGAATGGGCCACCCTGAGTCCATGAAGAGACATGGACTCGGGCTCCTGCTGCCTGACTAGCTGGTGGTGGCAGGTTTGGGTTTGAATCAGTGTCTAGGCAGGACCACAGGAATGCAGCAAACTCCCACTTATTCATCAGTCAGACTCCTGGGTAAGCCAACCTGCCAGAAGCATTCAGGGAAGTCTCAGAGCCCATGAAACTCACTGCAGCAATGAGGCATGACCAGGAGCCAGCTTTCTCTGTAGGCTCTGTCCCAGGAGCATCAGGTAGATTAACTCATGCAGTGGCCCCAACAACCCTCTAAGCTAGTGCTGTTCACCCCTCCATGTTAGAGAGAAGAAAAGTGAGCTTTCCATGAATTCCTACCTCACTTCTGACAGGTGAAAGGGGAGAATCCAGGTTAAATCTAAGCAATGTGAACCCATAACCTCTATTCCTGACCTCCATGTTATACTGTCCCCCAACCAGTTTGGCTGGTTAATCCTATGTCCTGAAGTTATAGTAAAAAAGGAGAGAAATGAAGAGCGGAACTGCTGTGAGGAAGGGCGAGAGAGCAGGCAGCAGCCCTGGTCCATGGCAGGCTCCTGGAACAGCCAGCGGGAGCAGAGTCCCAGGAGGAAGGTGGAGAGCCAGCGCCGGAGGCTGCAGCAGGGCAGGGCTGTTCAGCAGGGGGGCTGGCAGCCAGCAAGTCCTAACAGTCCCTCAGAGAGAGCAGCCCCCATTCAGCAGCACTGCAGGCCTGGAGCGTTCTGAGACTGGGGGCATTAGCTTACAGCTGTCAGTTAAGAGTAACTCATGTTCAAATTATGTCCCTTGGCACCAAGAAAAGGTTAAAGTGTGCTTGGAGCTTGCAGCTCATGAAGGTAGGGAAGATGACACTCCATGAAGCTTCCATTTCAAAGGTGGGAATCAGAAATGTTGGTCTTCAGAGGGTCCTTTGGGTGTCCTTCATCTAGGATACTCACATATCCTGACAGGGCTGGGTAGTGTCAGTGGAAAGAATTTACATGTTCATTACCTATTGGTTCTCGCAGGCCTGGTATTATAGATATGAATCAGGTTATATTTGTGTTCCCCTTGAGAAGGCTCACCCTCCAGCCTATCAGAATTACACCAGCAGTGACGGTGAGAGTCTCAAAACTGCACTGGACGCTGTAATCAGTTGCAAGTCCCTGGACTCTGGAATCCAGTCACTTTTTGTTTTTAAGTGATTGTGAACAGAGGGCTTCGGACATGTGCCTCCAGTTGACAAGGGGCCCAGTACCGCTAGGTGGGTAGGCATCCAGTTCTTTTCCCCTGGGGAGATGTGCATGTCTCTCTCCCCCAAAAGCAGAGAGCCGGGTGGGTAAGCATGTTACCACCTGAAGGCATAATTGGACCATGGCACAACACCCAGCTCTGGGCGGAAGCAAGAGAAAGGCCAGGGTGAACATGCCTTGTGGGTGGAAGCAGAAGAGATGGCAGCATAGACAGTTGATTCTCATTATTCTGTGATGTCCCCACAAATGCTGAGTATCAATCCCGAACCATTGGTCTCAGGAGAGATACAGGGTGAGGTTCCTGCTAGTCTCTGATCACACCATTTTAATCAAGTGATCAGTACATAACCATGCATTTTGTGTGTTTCTCTTTAAATACACTTTATTTAATACACATTGTTGATTCATTAACATTGAACTTATGGCCAACAGCACTGTAACTCATGCCTGAACAAAGCTCATCTAGCATATGTATTTTCTCCAGGAGGCACCTCACAGCCTTCTTGCACTCAGGACACTGGACAGCACTTCAGCACTATGCTTGGGGGCCATTTAAACAGCAGAATCACCAACAAAAACACAAAAGTGGCAATGAGGAGACCATAAAAACTGTGGCAATAAACAGACCATAAAAAGGAGACCTCTGTTCACAGTCTGAGAGCAGAAACAAGAAGGCAACGGGTCACCTTGTCTGACCTCAGCTGGGGATGTGACTCAGTTTTCTTCCATTTTACAGATGTCTGCAGAAGACCTCACAGGCACACGAATAATTGACTTGGGGTTACAAATAAGGTTTAGCAAGTAGGCAAATTCGCAAATACAGAATCTGTGAATAATGAGGCTCGACTGTATGGATCATAGAGGGCCTAGAGCACCAGCCGTCGGTATTGAGGATTTTCCACTTGCACATCCCTGTGCTCGCTTTACATTAGTGAGTGCTGGTCCTCTGGCTCTCCACCCCACCCTCATTTTTCATGTTGGCCCTTGCTGGCCAGAGAAGTGCTTCTGCCTACGACAAATCCCACAGCTGTGACTGATTGTCTAGCCGACTTGGTCCCTGGGCCCAGCACAGCCCGACAGGCTGGGGCTTCATGTCTTCATTAGCTCAGTCCCCAGAGCAGGTGCCTGGCTGGCATCCAGGCGAGGAGATAAAAGAGAGCCAGGCACTGCCACCCAGAAAAATCCCTTACTGCATGGGGTCTGGATGGGGAAACCTGGCTTACCTTCCATTCGGCTGCAGTGTGATTGTGTCCCATGACCCCTGGGAGCCAAGGGGAGCCACAGGCTTCCGATCTGACCCTGCCACTTTTCTATCCCCTTCACACCCCCCACACACCTCAGTTTTCTTTCATCACAGGGATGTTTGATGTTTACTTTGAGTCCCCAGAGGGTACCGATGGTGAGTTTTATTCCACCATCAGGCAGATGCTGTAATAGGTCTGGGTCAATTGTCCCTACTCCAGTTGGGCCCCAGTCCTATCCTCCCAACCCTAGAAGAAGGATGGGTAGTTGTTTTGGAACTAGAACTTGAACCCTCTGCAAAATATTCCAAAAGAGCCTAAATAAACCCTTAGCTATTTAGTTACCTTACGACTCAAACCCACTCCATGGGAGAGGGATGGAGGTGCAAATGCGTGTGGGCAGAAAGAGAGCCGAGAGAGGGACTTTGAAGTATAGTATTGGAGCTGATTCTCACAGGGAGGGAACTTCTATATGAAGTGACTGTCTCCAGAGAGCAGGCCTGCGACCCTGGGGCAGTGTGACTAGGTACAGAGGTGTGACTAGGCAGGTGGCTGGCATCTTTCCTTGTCCACCTCAACAAAAGGACAGCTGGGCAAAGCAGAGCAAGGCCTCCATCGTCACTGCAAGCTGTTAATCTGGCCCCTTTTCCTTGGCATTAAACTCCCTGGGAAGGAAATGAAGGTACCCACCAGTTGGCAGGAAGCCCAATGAAAAACAAGTTCAGTCCAATTAGAATTCAATCAAATTTAGGAAGAAAATTCCATCCAAACCAGAGCACCATTAAGGCAGCAGTTGAAGAGAACTCGTTAGCTTGAGAGCTCCCACATCTCCCAATTAAGAAGTTCCCTAGACCACTTCCAGCCCCAACCCCATTTACCATAAAAATGGTGAGCTCTAACACCGGTGCTCTCCAAAGCAGCACTAGCAAAATGCGCATAGCAGCCGGTGGGTGTGGTGAGAGAGCCAGCTAATGTCACCCAGTGGATTCAGGGGCTGAGCCTGTGCCCACTATGGTTTGTTGGTGTGTCCTTCCTTCCAAGGTGCTTCTGTAGAGTGTCTGGCTTGTGCAAGGAATTCTTTCAAGGTGGTTTCTGCAGCCGCCTGCCATGAACTACACCTTTACTGGTGAGAGAAGGAGGAATCATATTTCTAAGAATTAAATAAGATGCCCAATGCAACACACACACACACACACACACACACACACACACACACACACACCACTGAGGGCCCCATTCCCCATAGACTGAGTATCAAGCAGAGAAATGCTCCTGTGTACAATTTGAGAAGAAAAGACACAAACTTGCTTGGCAAGTTAAGAACTAGCCTTCTTGATCACAGCCTTCTGCTGCCAGCCCTGCCTTGCTAGGAAAGTGAATTTGAAATCAGAGAGAAATAAGGACAGAATCATAGAAAATAAATAGCCCTTCTGTCAAATTTTTCAGCAGGCCCTTCTTTTGTCAAACTCCAATTCAATTCCAATTTCTTCTCATTATTACTTTAAACTGAACGCATCATTTAACTTTTATATCATCTTGATTTTATGTATTTTTCCATTATGATTAGATTTCTTTTTTAACCTAAAAGGCAGCCCCCAGGACATTTTCTTGTGTTTGGAACCCTCATTGTCTCCATGTGAGAAAGCACTTTCTCTAGATTAGAAATCCTCCCAGGCAGCTAAGAAAGGCAGGAAGAGCCCTATTCATAAGAATAGAGAAGGAGGGGGTTCATTCCCCTGGGTCTCAAATCAGTGGTGCACTGATACATATTTAACAATTGGCTCTTTAGGGGAGAAAGCCCTGGTTTATAACACTTGCCAATTCCCATGGTGTAAATATTCCCACCATGGCCAATTTCAAGCCACCACAGAGACCTCACTGAAGCCAGAGTTGGGAAGAGCCATGTACAGGTGGCTCTCGGGAGCCACTGTGGTTGAGCAGGCTTCAGCACACCGGGCTCCTACACCTTTAGTCACCCAGAGGCTCTTGAGACTTTTCTCCTGCCGTCCAAAGCCGGGGAAAGGCGAATGCATGTTCCGTACTGTTGTGGAGGTTTTTTTGGTTACTATTCGAAGGAGTTTTCGGGTCATTGGAGAACAGTTGTTATTGAAGGCAGAGCCTGTTATCATGATCCAGGAAAAAGGGAAATGGGTTTTGTCCCTCCCATTCAGTGACTCCTTCTATTTATGTGAGAGCCAAGACATAACCTGGGATGGCTAGAGAAAGCTATCTGTGGAAGTTGGGGCATGTGGGCAGGCTTCCTAGTGCAAAGCCATCCTCACTTTTGTTTCCCCTTGTCTCCATCTCTCCTTCATGCCCCACCCACGCCCTCCTTCCATGCACTCCCTGCCCTGTCCACTCCACTCTCTCTCCAGAGAGTTCTCCAAAGAGAGGGAGAAGGCCAAGGCTCGGGGGGATTTCCAAAAGCTACGAGAGAAGCAACAACTGGAAGAGGACCTGAAAGGCTACCTGGACTGGATCACACAGGCGGAAGACATTGACCCTGAGAACGAGGACGAAGGCATGGATGAGGAGAAACCCCGAAACAGTGAGCAGCATCCTCTGTCTTGGCTGGGTTCTGGGAGAGGGAAGAGATGGTGGGAGCACAGCAGAAACCTTTTGCCACCAACCTTTCTTTACAGTTGTCCTCCTGGAACAACGTTGGTCCCATTGCTTGCAATCATTTGCTACTCATAGAAGTTAGTGAAATAATTGTGATTGATCTGTAAAGCCTCATTTTCTTTTAGGATCTTTGATCTTAAAGACAGTTTAGATTTTGCTAAGGTGTACTCTTTATTTTTAAATCAGACATCCTCCTCTGGGCTCCATCTCTTTGGGCAGAGGGCAGGCTCCTGCACAGGCTTGTTACAAAGAATGCTTTCCACCAAGCAGCTCCCTAGAAAGCAGGAACCTCGCCCCCTTTGCAGCAGACTTCCAAGCTCCATTGTGCTTTCTCAGGAAAAGCAGCCAAAGGTTTCTCTTAAGGAGGTTAGATTCAAAGTACTAAATGGGAAGACTGAGGAAGCCTAGAGGCATTTGACAGGTTATAGAAACTGAGCTAAATCCCTTCCTCTGGGGTTGCACGGGGCAGGCTCTCACCAGATTAGCCCAGTGGATCTCAAAGTGTGGTCCCTGGACCAGCAGCACCCGGGAAGTTACTAGAAATGCAAACTCAGGCTGCACTTCAGATCTGCTGGCTCAGAGATCCCGGGGTGGGGCCCAGCAATTGGTTTGAACAGCCTGCAGATGATGGAGCTGCCGGGTACATTTGAGAACCACTGGGTTAGGTCCGACTATTCTCCCTGTTTCATTGGACCTCCATCTCTCTGATGACCACGCACTTGCCTCCTCTCTCTGGGTGCACTTTTTCCCTTTCATTTTGCATGTTTGAATAGGTGTGTTTCTTCCTCAAGCAGCGTAACTTGAAAACATGCTCCTGAACCTTGAGCATCTAGGGTAGTCAGGAACCGAACAGGTTAAAAAGCCAGCAAGATGGTTGCTGTATGGAGACAGGCAGGTAAGGTGGGCAGCCAGAAACATTCCCTGAGTGGAAGGGAGGTGACAGTACCCACCGGGTCTCAGGGGGGCTGATGGAGGGAAGCAGGACGCTGGTATGGATCAGGTGCTTCTCTCCTTAAGGAGCCAGGAAGGCGCAGGACTGCCAGGCCAGTGCCCTGAGAAAAGCATGGTCTTCCCATCAGCTGTGAAATCCCTGTGTGTGCAGGCATGCGTGTACATATATATCCTAGCACATACATGCAAATACAGTGAGTCTAGTTTCTCGGCCTTATAGTAGGCATGAGTTATGTCCATGTTTTCAAACTCCCGACAGATTTCTATGAGTTTCTGCTCATTAGCACCTGAGTCCTGATGGGGGATCTAGAGGAGGATCGAGTGGAGGAAGTGGGAAAGGAGCCAGCAAAGGTTTAGCTGCAGAGACTGCTAGAACCCTCCACCAATGCTCCCTTTCTGATCGCTGCTCAAGGGTAAACACAAAATTAAAACACACAAACAACAGGGACTGGTAATGACATAATTTAATAACCTAAGGAGGCAGGTTGGAAGGCAAGGCTTTCAATGAATTATAACAGTGAGCAATGGTGCCACTGGGGTCTTTCTGGGAAAATGCTTGGCAGGTTCTATTATACTGTTGCTGGAACTGTGGCGTAGTTAGTTTGTGGCACGGAGTGGTACGGTAGATAAGTACCACAGAGAAGCTTACCTCTGAAACACAGAAACTGGCATCTTGGCCCCTCTCCATCCTAAGTCAGGGCAGAGGCTCAGTGTCATGATTAATGCTGATGAGCAAGTTTCTTAGCATATTATTAAAAATGAGCGGCATCCACTATTTGCTTAGCAGTCAGTTGTGGTCCACAGACACACATAGTTACTCTATTCTCTGCCTAAAGCAAGAGCTCCCTAGATGTGTGCTGCTTCCCTGTCCTGACCATTAAATGAATAAATTCCAAGGCATTCCTAGCATGGAGAATTCTTTGCCGCTTGACCAGATCACGTGGACAAGGCCTGTCCCCCCACATTTCTGGCCAGGCTTTGGGATGAGCGTGATGAACTGCCTAATCCAGTGCACAGAACCTCTGCCAAGATTTTCAGAAGTCCGAATATGGATGAAATCAGACTCTGGAGACTGCTGTCCCTCCCACCATGTACTCCTTCCTGATGGCTGGAGGAGCCTTTGCTGTCTGCTTCTGGTCCTCAGCCAGCCTTGTCCTGGGAGAACACAGTGGGAGCCTGCCACCTTCAATTGTTGAAATGGTGCTAGAACAGTCCTACTGTGGTGGGGCAAGGAAATGAGTCTATAAAAAAGCAAGATGAAGAGTAAAATAGACCCATGCAATGAAATGGATATGAGAGATGTAGTGATGGAGCCAGGAAACCAGTCCAAAGGACTGTGTCTATTGGGGAAGTCCAATAAAAGCAGTGATTAAATTATTAGGGAATTGGCAACCTAATAGATTTGCAGAAAAGGCTAGCGTATGGCTCAGAAACTATATTCTTGTCTTCAAAACTTCATAGTTTGCCCTTTGAAACAAACACAAGGGGAGAAATGCTGCTATAATTTATATGTATGTTTCAATTAAAGTAGTATCTTAGCCTTTGAAATTGCTAAAAATTTATAATATAGTAAGCTCTGCCAGTTCTTTTCAGCTCAAAAACAAAGTAGTCTTTTAAGAAAAAAGGCATCATCACTATTCATCAACGGCTCTGGCAACTTCTGTTCTTCCCTGGGCAGAAGGCGGGTCAGCACCTGCCAGATGCTGCTGGAGTAGGACATGGTGACAGAGAGGTGGCACCAGGGCAGGACAGTTAGCATACCTGCAGGAGCCCAATCATGCACTTCTCCTAGGAAAAGCTACAAACACCGTGGAGGAAATAGGAAGAGCAGTAGTAGAGAAGACAGAGAGCAAGGGCACAGTTAGGAGGTAATTCTAAGTAATTAGAGTAATGATGTAGCTGGTAAATTACACCCAAAAAACATGTTCCAGTTTATGCTTCCACCCATCCATCCACTCATTAAAGTCTGCTCCGTGCCAGACACTGTTTCAGGTGCAGGGGGTATAGCAATGAGCAAAACAGTAAAAAATCCCTGCCCTCATGGAACTTACCTCCTAGTGGGGAGACATACCAATTAAATGGTATGTCAGAGAGTGATAAGTGCCATGGAGAAGGTGAAATACGAGAGGGAGACAGAAGTGCTGAGAGGTTGTAATTTAGGTGGGGTGCTCAGAAGTACCTCACTGAGAAGGTGGCATTTGAATGAAGACTTGAAGGCAGTAAGGAAATATATAGATATTTGGGGAAAGAGCATTCTGGGAAGAGGGAGCAGCCTGTGGAAAGGCCTCAAGGGAGAAGCAGAGCTGATGTATTTGAGGAGCAGAGAGGAAGCTAATGTGACTGGAGGGCAGTGAGTACGGGGGAGAGAGGTAGGTGATGAAGTCCAAGGTAACCAGGACGTGGACCATGAGACTCACTGTAAGAACTTGGGCTTTCCGAGGAGTGAGCTAGGAAGCCACTGAGAGTTTTTAGCTGAGAAGTGCTATGACTTGACCCACGTTTACCAGGAACTCCCTGGATGCAATCTGCAGAATGGAATGGAGGTGGGCAAGGGCGAAGCAGGGAGCCGGGGGAGGGGTTGGGGCTCCTGCCTCAAGAGACCATGACACCTTGTCCTGGTATCAGTGAGGTGATACAGTGAGGCCCCACATTGTCCTGGTAACAATGAGGTGACACAGTGAGGCTCCATGTTGTCCTGGTAACAATGAGGTGATACAGTGAGGCTCCATGTTGTCCTGGTAACAATGAGGTGATACAGTGAGGCTCCATGTTGCCCTGGTAACAATGAGGTGATACAGAAAGGCTCCAGAATGACAACATTTGCTGGCGTATCAGATATAAGATGTGTGTATGAGAGAGAGAGAAAAAAAAACAGGAGTTTTCCAGGTGATTGTCTAAACAGCAGAAAGTGTGGCATCCTCATGTACTGATCCAGGGGAGCTACGAGAGGAATAGGTGTCAGGGCAGGAATATTAGGAAAAGTCTCACACCCAGACGTTTGAAATGCCTATTTGACATCCAAATGCAGATGGTGTGTAGGCAGTTGGGAATTCATCTGAGGTCTGGGGAGAGGTCTGGGACAAATTATATTTTGAGAAGTCAACAACATATAGAAGGCATTTAAACCTATTTGCCTGGATGAGATCACTTGCGGAGTAGTGTAGAGAGAAATGGGAGAGGCCAGCACTGCCCTGGCCTTTCCCACCTCTACTGATGTGTGGAGGCTGGGGTATAAGGAAGAGCCAGCAGAGGAGATAGAAGGGCATGGCAGAGAGGAGGTAGGATAGGCCAGGGCAGTGTTGCTGAGAGGCGAGTATGGTGGGCGCTGGGAACTCATTACTGGGCTTAGCAGTGTGGGGTCACTGGTGCCTTGACAAGAGCTGCTCAGTGCCACAGTGACGCCCAAAGCTTGAGGGCAAACAGAGTCCTGTTTCATGAGTGTCTTGAGTCTGGAGACTTTCCAGGATGGCATCACGCTGCAGACCTCCTGTTTTGGGTGCAGCCTAGCTGCCAGTCATCTGAGGGTTTCCAGACAGAAAAGGAGAAGCACATGGCCCAGCCTAGCTGGACCCTAAGGGGTCAGCGTTCAGCCCTTCATCAGGCCCAATATGCAGCTGGTTACAGACAGCCTTGGAGAAAAGGACAAGATGATACTCAAGAGCCATTTTAGGGCCCAAAAAGACAGAAAAGAGGCAAAAAGGGGTATGTTTGTACCCTGTTGCCTTTTGTGCCACTTCCAGAGTGGGCGGCCTCATGGGTCTTGGCTCCACACCCCTCTGCTCGACAGGATAATGTAGAGGCCTTTCCCCTCCCTCTGAGCAGCAATGAGCATCCCTTTTAAAGGCACCAACTACAAAACTGTCGCTGCTGCACAGGTCATTGTCATCAGCAGAGAAGCACTGTTGCAAGGCACATGGTCCATTTCCTGGCTCGAATGCCGCATCTGAGAGAAGGCCAGCCATGAAGAAAGATAAA